ACTGGCCCCCCTATCCTCTATAGTCTCAGGGGAAGTGATGATACACTAGTGTAAGGAGTCAGAATCCATCTCTTCTTTGGATGAATATTACTGAAGGCAAAAGTTGACCTCTTGAATATTTTAATCAAAAAGCTATTTGAGTTTTTTATTTCTTTTGATGCTGCAGTGAAAAGTAATATGGGTTTTGTTACATTAAACATTTGAGCCAAAAAATGTGCTTTTCCACCAAGGAAAACCCAAACCAGGAAGGTCAAGCCAAAATAAACATGCAAAATATTACTATATATATTATTATATATATAAAATCCAGATAGAGTTTTAATAGGCACAGATACTGCATCTGATATAATGCACTTGGGCCTAGATTTGAAATTTACAAAATGGGTTTTTGGGAGCTGCATTTTATTTTGGTTTTTATCCATTCAGGAAAAAAGGGAAGGAACCCACAATAATTCTTCCCAGTAAGGCTTGTCTACTAAACTTGAGGAGGGCAACACTCAAAATTGCATGTAACGATATGATTTATATTAGTACAAAATCTGTAGAATAAAACAGTCATTGTATTTCACAATTCATATCTTGAAGTAGCAGGAGTAGTTAGAAAATGATATCTGGCAAGACCCTATTGGGAGTGGACTGCCTATGGAAAGTTGGTCTAAAGAATGTTCTGATATTAGTCTCAGACAGCAAGTCAAGTGATGGGAATTTGGTTTGGGAAGTAGATCTTGCTGTAAACTATTCAAGGTTAGATATGAAGCCCTGACATATGACAAATGGAATTTTTGAAGGAGAGTCACGCAAGCTAATGATTTTTAATCTTTAATCAGGTACCCAACCTGGCAGAGTGTGTAAAATCTTAGTAAATAAGTACCTTTAAGGTTCAGGGTCAGAGCTACAATGTTTTGCTGAGACAAACCAAATCAGAGGGAAAAGTAGGAAGAGGTCAGTTGCTCCTAGTAGTGAGTAGACAGGGCTAGATTCTGCCCCCCTTTGCTCATGTTTGGTACTACCTTACTAAGCCAGTAGGAAGCCAGTGAGGACAGTCAACCAGTAAGGCACTACACAGCATGTGCAAAGGTGAGAATCTGACTCTTAATGAATATGAACACAAGCCACATGGGGCAGGGCAATATTTTGGTTGAGGCTTAGACTCCCTGACTTCTAGTTTTGTGGGCAAAGTTTTGCACCCACCATTAACTGTGGGCCCAAACTTCAGTGGTTAGCAATTGAACTACCTGAACACTGGGCCTCAACAGTGTTGAGCCTCAACCATTCAAGAAGGATGAAGCAGTGCTCCCTCCCACAAAAATAATGAATGAGTTTTAAAATCACAATTGGATGCATTTGGGGTTTTCCTGGGCTTTCAAAGCTTTCAAGGTTTTACTTTCAAGTTTTCTCCACAATAATAAGGTCTAGAAACTGTTTTTTAAAGGTAAACAGAGATTCAGCATTTAAAAAGGTCAAGTAAAACAACAAATATTGCCGGACCAATGATAAAAATGGCAAACGTTAGCACCACTGTGCATATCAGGCAGCTAGCTGCATAAATGAAGTTGTCTGGCTCCAACATATCAGAGGATACGTCTAAACTGCATGCCTCCATTGACAGATGCATGTAGATTAGTTTATTCGAAAAAGCGAAATGAAGCGGTGATTTAAATAATCGCCGCTTCATTTAAATTTAAATGGCTGCCCCCCTCTGCTGACAAACAGCTGATCAGCTGTTTGTCGGCAGATCGGGGCAGTCTGGATGCGCTGCGGTCGACAAGGAAGCCTTTGTTGACCGGTGCAGGTAAACCTGGTTTCACGAGGCATACCTGCACCGATTG